CATAATCAATATAGTCACTTTCTAAACAGTCTTCTCTAATAATATAAAGAACGCATGCTCTTACTAACAAAAATAATTTGAATAAACAGAAGTGACAGAATCTTCCTTTCTCTCAACCATGTTCATACTCCTTTCTCTCAACCATGCTCATATCTCATACTGAGATAACTATGCCAAGACAGTTTTCATTTGTTCTAATCTTCATGTTTATGACTTTAGATAAAATACTTATCTTAGCCATCTATTTGTATTTACCAACTTGAGAGTATCCAATTACCTTCTATTCTTATAATTTTGTCTATCTTTTCTGTAAGGCATAACTTCTTGCATATATAAGCCATGTTCTGTTATCAAGAATTAGGAATTTAGTCTAGGTAATCTTCCTTTGCTTCCCTTCTCATGCTCAATGCACTCCTTATTTTCTGTGTTAGTATATTTATATTTTCAATGTTCATAATGTTTAAATTTTAATGTGTCTATAACTTAATCTCATACTTTAGGATGTGGTGAAAACTCATTTAGAAGATCAACATTTTTATTACTATGACTTTGAAATTTTATGCCATAACAATTTACTGAAGAAAATGTTTTTAAGTAATTTTATTCAAACTATATAAAATTTTCTTTCTCATTTATATTACTTCCTTTGGGACATAGTCAATTGCCACTGCTCCTTGTATCTAATGTCATCTGTGCCCCAGAATTAATTTTTCTTTCTTTTTTTCCTGAAGCTCTAAAGTACACATTTTCATATAAAATGTCTAGCAGAAAATTTTTTTATATTCTTATATGTTCAGCATCGTTTTTATACTTTGCTCTTAAGTTTGTTTGAGGACATTCATAGAAATAGAATTCTAGGTCCAAATGTTTTCTATTCAATTTTAAAGATATTAAAATATTGTATTCTTATATTCAACCTGTTATCAGTCTGATTCTTAATGCATTGTAAATAACATGATCTTCTTTATTCTTTACTTTCTGAAATGATGAGTAGTCAAAATTTGTATACTTGTTTTGTCATAGTTAGATTCCGGTTAAAGGACATATTCTGTTCTCTAACAGCCTTTAATCTTTGATGGCCTGTGCCTGAAGTAATTTTCACATTGGAGAGATTAGAAAGTAGCAGTTTTCTAAATTGTTCATTCCTTCCATTTAAAGAAGCTATTTTTTTCTTCTCTCTCTCTCTCTCCGTCTCTCTCTCACACACACACACAATATATATCGATATCTAAGATATGCACATACATATATATGTATATCTTAACTATCAACAAGTGCTCATGAAATTATTTTTATTCAATATGTTACCATCTGATTTCTGATTCCAGTACTGGGGAAGTAATTTGTTTTGGAATAACCCTTTTACAGATAACAATTAAGAACAAGGGGAGAAATATGATAATAACCATTTGGAATCTCTGCAGGCAGAAATTACAGATCTGATCCTTTATAGCTAAGAACCACAATGAATGAGACCCAAATTCATTCAGCTTTTCCCCAGATGGCATCCCTAGACACAGGGCATTGAAAACCTAAACTTCAAGAAAAGGGCCCCAGTGTTGTTGGTCTGAAGAATGCAAGAAAGTATTTAAGATGACCAGAGTTGCACAAAATTGAGCAGAAAATCCCCAAAACAGGGAAATCTCAAAGACCCCAAAGTCTCCATATAAACTCTCCTCAAATCTTTGGCCGTGTTTTAAAGAAACCAGAGACACCAAAGAAAAAATGAGTGAAAGTCTGAGACAGCTGAGTATAGGTTCCAACAGATGGACACACAATTTGGAGTTTAAGTCTTATCAGATTAGAGGGGCTTGACAAATACTTTGAGCTTTTCATTGAAACTTTTTAAGGTCCATATCTTAGAATTAAAGATTACATAAAAGGAAGTACACTGAGAGGTATTTAGGTAAATATTTTAAAAACTATTTTTATGTTCTTAATTCTTTAAAAACAAATTGACTCATGACAGCAAAAATAACAACATATTTTGGAGTTATAATATGTAGAAGTAAACTTTATGATAACAATAGCACAAAAGATAAGAGAAGATGCAAACTGAGTTATTTGGTTGTAAATGAGCCTTAATTATAAATGACATAATATTATATTACTATTTTAAAAAATATTTTCCCATTGCAATTCAAAATTAAAATCAATTTGGTATGTAGTTTTATTTTTTCTGTTACTTCCTGAGATTTTAATATCAATGTTGTACTTTCCTTGTGTAAATACTTTTTTATACTCTGGAAATGTCTATTTAGCATTGAGATTACCTAGTCTGAAATTTTGGTAAAATTTTCCTATGAAACTATCCGGGCCTGAAGCTGTTTTGGAGGGTAGATTTCATTGTTGCTGTTGTTTGCTTTTTCTTTTTGTTTTCATGGAAATTTGTATATTTAAGACTTTATCCATACTGGGGTCAATTTTTAAAACTCATACATATGTAACAAAATCTTATTTTAATCCAGGTTTTCAAATTTTTTTACATGACACACAATTTTAATATCCTCTTTTCCTTCTTATGTTATATTGTTTATATGTGCATTTTCCTTTTATTCAACATGACATTAGTTTTTGGGTTATCTATTTTTTTTTAATTTTTTTTCCAAAGAACCAATATTTTGACTAGTTCTTCTATTAGTTTTATTATTTCTTCGTGTACATTAGCTTATTTTCTTTTACAAGTTTTTGAATGGAACATAGTTTTTTATTCATTATATGAGTGAAATTTATTATTAACATAAGTATAAAAAGCTATGAAATTTTATCTGATAATTGATTCAATGGCATCCTATAAATTTTAACATACTATGCCTTTATTTTCATTTTTTATTGCAGATGTGTCTTATATTTTCTCTGTTATCCAAGTATGCTTTGATAGAGGGGTAATTTTGTTTTATAATTTATTTTGTTTTCTTTTTTTCAGTTTGTCTTGTGTCTAGTATATTACGTTTTACAAAATATTTTATGTGTACTTAAAAAGAAGGAGTATTTTCTATCCAAGAGTATACATTTGGTATATGTCCATATGAATTCTGGTAAACTGGCCCCTAGGAGAAAAGAAAAGAAACGCCCTAATTATAGCATTTTGCCAATTTCTGTTGGACACTATGGCCAGTTTCAAATGACTACCATGTGCTGTCAACTGAATATGGAATTGGGAAAAGATGTGTAGAATCAGTTTTCACCAGCCATACTGTATGGGCCAGTTCAAACACAGCAGACATAACTCATTGACCTTGTGTTTAGGCTTTCAATAGGCTTACTTCTTTTTTATTTTACCTGATCTGTCTTGAACTTAGAATTAGTTCTTAAAATTTCCTATTATTATTTTTATTTGTTTTAGTCAATTTCTGCTTATATAGCTCCTGTAGTTTCTGCTTTATGAAGGCAAATGCCATATTAAATGATGCATCGTCTTCATAGCTGTTCTAGCATTATTTTGAATTGTTATCTTAAGCAGTATAACTATGCTCTTCTTTATCTCTTATACTGCTTTTGGGCCTGAATTTTATATTGTCTGATATCAGGATTGCAATCCCGATTTCTTTATTGTTTCCATTTACATGATACACATTTAGCCATGCCTTTATTTTCTCACATTTCTGAATCACTTTGTTTTAGGCATGCCTTTTGTTTATAGCATAGAGCTGAAGTTTTTCGTTGTTGTTGTTGTTTCTTTTTTTGTTTATTTTTTGCTAAGCCAATTTGAAAATTGTTTCCTTTAAGTAGTTAAAGCATTTGTATTTATATTATTATGTGACTAAAAAGTTTGGTCTCAACCTGGATGGTATTAAGTTATATTTACAGTGGGTATTAGGTTACATTAACTACTTTTTTATATGCTTTTAGTGAGGAAAACCTAAGTTTTACTTCTTGGTTTATCAGCTTTAAGTAATATCCTTTCACTTCTGCTTATAATTATCATTCATTGTAGCAATCACTAAGAGATGATCCTATGTGCCCTTTTCTTCCTTCCATTCTGATTTTTAAATTGAATTATTTCTGTTTTATTTTCTGAATACATGACATTTACTTCCTCTTCTTCCACTCATGTATCTGCTTTTGAATTAACCTTACACATATATTAAATATATCTAATGCTCATTACCATTCCTTTTGATGAGACTGTCCTAGTTATCTCTTGGTTTGATGAAGTTTGACCTGCAGTATATTCTTCAAAAATAAATCTGGAGTGAAGTATTTCCTGGGTTCCTCCAGGTTAAGACAGTTTTTCTATAGCCCTGATTCTTAAGCAACAGAGAATTCTCTCTGGAGCAGAGTGGCTGTGGTTTTTGGGGACTTGTGCTTCCTCAGAACCTCACACGGTGCCCGACACAAAGTAGGCAATCAACAACTATGAGTTAAATTAAAGAACAATGTTGTCTATAAGTTTAATCAATGGTAAGATCCACTCTGCAATGTATGTTGTCATCCATATAAAGGATCCTGGAAAATATAAGGCTGTACATGACATTTTTAGTTTAATCATATTGTGATTAGAGCATGTGTCCTCAGCCATCCAGGCAATTAAACAATTGTGTAATTGTCACTTAGAATCACAATGCAACAGTTATACTTTGTCCTTGAAAAGGGTCTAAATACGTATGTGTCCTTGATCAATTCATAGTATACCTTCCACCTAAAAGAAGGATTTTTCTCTACAGTGTATCCCCTCCGTTAAAGTAAAGATAAAACATCACTGAATATATCTACGGGAGAGATTTTCAGCTCATGACAATTGGATCTTCATTTCTCACCAGTCAGGGACTAAGATCTGTGCTCAGCTTCCAGCTACACTGCTTTGGAGACTATTTTCAAGGGAACATGTATTACTCAAAAAGAACAAAAAAATTTGAGAGCAAGTGCTGTAAAATAAACATAGTGGGTCAGAAGCGTATCCAGGATGGAGACAGCACAGCACATAAGGATCTGACTTTTCAATTAACTGTAAATTGGAGAGAAATCTACAGCAATGTAACAAGAAAAGAAACAAATACCTAGCTTACTCAGATGACTGGCACAAAAATCAGACGAGGGTAGTTCTAGCAGGAGACATTTCGTAAATTCCAGCCTCCAGCTTGGCTGATTGAGGAAATAAAACCCCTGGCACACAATCTCCTCTGTGAAAGGCAAAAGGGAGAGAACGTAATATTTATTAAGCATCAATGGTATACCAGGTACTGCATTGGAACATTTGTACACATTTTATTTCTTAATGCTCATGACAACCTTGTGAAGTAAGTGGTACCATGAGTCCCTTTTTAAAATAAAGAAGCCCGAAGTAACCAAACATTAATTTACTTTCCCAAGGTCACAGACCTAACAATTGTTGGCAAAGCTGAGACTTACATTCAGCTCTGAAAAAAAGCCCTTACTTTTGTCTGGCTTACATTTCCACATTTTTACTTTTTTTTCTTACTCCTTAACTGCTTCTTAATTTCAGAAAGACCAGGGAGACCAATAAAATTAGGCGGTTAAAGATGAGGATGAAGACTGTTAACATAGATATTCATGGGCTAGAGAAGCTCTGATTGCTCCAGAGGAAGGAGACTGGACCACCTCCTTCTGAGTCACCAGATGGCCATCACACCAAAGCCAGAGCGGAGTCTTCTTTAGGTGCAGGATTGATAGTGGTCTCTTTTCCATAATGAGCCAGCACATTTTAAATTATGGAAATGTAGAGATTTTTATGTCTCTATACTTTTCAACATTTTACCAGCAAGACACTTTGTTCAAGGTAAAGATTACAAGGAAAAATATTCAGTACAGCATAGGACTTGAGATCAGAGGCCCTGGAACCATATCCTACCACTTACTAGCTAGGTTACCTTGAGCAAGTTAGTTAACCTACCTCTATCCTGCTTTCCTTGTCTGCAAATTGCAGAAAATCATACTACGTAGTTGTAGAGTTGTGAAGATTAAATTAAACTAAATCAGTTAATACCTATGAAGTAGGCAGGGCAGAGCTTGATGCATACTAAGGCATTCATTGGTTGAAGGAAAGTTGGCTATGCTTGGAATCCTGAATGATGACAATTCCTTTACAGAATCCTTTAAGACTCCACAAAGCACAATCGTAAAGCATTGTTTTCAACTCTCTCACTTACAGCTGAAGTAATTGGAGTTAAGGAGATAAAAGTTACTTAGCCATGGCCATATAGCTAATTACTAACAAGCTACAATATGAACCAGATCAGCTTACTTCATATAAAGAGTTCCCCTCTACTTTTTTTTTTTTTTTTTTTTTTTTTTGAGACAGGGTCTCACTCTGTTACCCAGACTGGACTGCAGTGGCAAAAAAAAAAAAAAAAAAAAAAAAAACCAGCTTACTGCAACCCCAACCTCCTTCACTCAAGTGATCCTCCTGTCTCAGCCTCCCATGTAGCTGGGACCACAGGCACATGCCACTATGCTTGGCTAATTTTTTTATTTTGTATTTTTGGTAGAGATAGGTCTCACTTTATTTTCCAGGCTAGTCTCAAACTCCTGAGCTCAAGCAATCCTCCTGCCTTGACCTCCCAAAGTGCTGGGATTGCAGGTGTGAGCCACTGCACTCAGCCCACATTTTATTTATCTGCATACTATTGTTTTGTCTTCCAGGATACATTTTCTAAATAAATATGGTATGTGTATATCATATATATGTGTGTGTGTATATATATGCATTTAGTATATACATATCCCATACAGAGAAGGCTTATACTATTTTACTTATTAATTCCATATGTTAATAATTTATAAAAATAGAATTCCAATAAATATGTGGCTGGTAAGCCAGAAAAGCCTAATAAGTTATTGCTGTAAATATGCTGTAAACCTACTTGACCCCTCATTCCTGCCAGGGTATTTATCCCCTTTTATTGCATATATCAAACTCTGGCACCTGAATCAGTTTCCTTAAGTGGTCAGACATAACACAGAAACAGAATAATGAACTCTTTATCCATCTTCATGCATCCAAAACCAAAAGAAGAGCTTTCTAACACATTTAGTAAAGTTCAGGGGCACTAGGACCAGGCAGTTTTACAGGTGAAGTTTATCAGGCTATAAAACAATAAAATAATCTCTCCTGTATTAAAAACCATTGCAGAAACTACAAAAATATAAGATGTATTAAAAATGAGATGAAAGTAAAGAAAATGTGTTAACTAATTTCAATTATTATTACTTATTACATCTTGTAAATATTATTATTTATAATCTTAAATTTTATTATATACTCAAGTAATCTTTGATGTCCTTTAAAAACGTTTTGTATTTTTCTCATAGATGTCCTGCATAAATTTGTAATATTTATTCTGAGAAACGGTGTATTTTTGTTGCAATGTTTAATGAGACTGTTAAAAATGAAAATTCTAACATAAAGTACTCTTACGTATAATTCACCATAGAAAAAGTAAAATTCATGTTCCAACATCAGAAAATTTATTGGCATCATATTAAGAGAGTAAAAAGGAAACATCATATCTTCTCAATGCACACAGGAAAAAGTATTCAATAAAATGCAACAGCCATTTATAATAAAACTCTAAACTCTGAGTAAATTAAGAATGGCAAAGCAGTGTTTTCACCTGATAAAGGACATCAAAAGTCTTTACTTGATATTTGTATAACAGTGAAACTTCAAAATGTTCCCATTAAGATTAGGAAATAAAGATGCCCCCTACCCTTTCTATTCTGTATTCCATTTTAGAATCAATATTACACCAATGATTCTGACCAATGCCATAAGTCAAAAGAAAGCAAAATAACGATGTTAAGATTTAAAAATTAGGACAAAAATATCAATTTGTACAAATTTATGATTATTACTAGAACAAATTCAAGAGAATATATACAGATAAACTGTTGACATTAACATTTAACAAGATTGCTACAAACCAATAATATCCTTATACATTAATAGTGGTAAAATATAACCAATTACATAAAATTGATAATAACCAAGTGTCAAAAACATAACATTAAACAAAAACCCTAGGTTATAGAGTAACACATGTAATAATCTATAATTTTTAAAAGGTTTATATTATTTGGGGGCATATAGATAAGTAGATAAAAGTATAAAAGTGGCTGGGTGCAGTGGCTCACACCTGTAACCCCAGCACTTTGGGAGGCTGGGGTAGGTGGACCATCTGAGGTCTGGAGTTTGAGACCAGCCTGGCCAACATGATAAAACCCTGCCTCTACTAAAAATACAAAAAATTAGTTGGACGTGATGGCAGGTGCCTGTAATCCCAGCTACTCCAGAGGCTGAGGCAGGAGAATCCCTTGAACCCAGGAGGCAGAGGTTTCAGTGAGTCGAGATCGCATCACTGCACTCCAGCCTGGGCAACAAGAACGAAACTCCATCTTAAAAAAAAAAAAAAAAAAAGTGTAAAAGCGTGCATGAATACCATACCCAAAAAATCAGTCAAGGATCATCTGTAGGAAAGGAGAATGGGAAGGAAATGGGTGCAGGGAGAGAAACACAGGAGGAAACTGTTTTAGTAAAACGTTCTTTAAAAAGATTGGATAAAGTTAAGTGGGGTAAACTGAGTCATTATGTTTGTCTCTATACTTCTCATATATCCATAATATTTTAGATTCTTTTACTGCTGAAGAAAAAAGTAAAGAAGTGCTATAAGGGAAAATGTATGTTAAAAATTTTAAGTGGTATTAGCCTTTCAACACAGGTGTACATACAGATTACAAGTTCCTGCTGGAGTGGGGGAAACTTTGTCTTACCCTCCTCAGGCGAGAACAATCTGCAGCTTTAGAAAATGGCATAAGACATCCTTGAAAAAGAAGACGATCATGTCCTTTGCAGGAACACAGATGGATGTGGAGGTCATTATCCTTAACAACATTATCCTTATCCCAGTGTAGGGATAGAAAACCAGATACTGCATGTTCTCACTCCTAAGTGGAAGCTAAATGATAAGAGTACATGGACACAAACAGGGGAACACCAGACACAGGGGCTTACTTGAAATTGGAGAGTAGGGAGAGGGAAAGGATCAGAAAAAATAACTTTCAGGTAGTAGGGTTAGTGCCAGGATGATGAAATAATCTATACACCAAACCCCCGTGACATGAGTTTACCTAGATAACAAACCTGCACATCTACCCCTGAACCTAAAAAAAAAAAAAAAAAAAAAGTTAAAGAAAAGAAAATGGCATAAAGTACAGAGGTGTCCACACCTTTGCCCGTAATTCGTCTTTCAAAGCTGCCAGAGAAACCCACAGGCCAGCACACCCGCCAGAGCAGGTGAGATCTGTGTGTCCGGGGCCCCTTTCCCCTCTGACCATGGATTATTGCTTTTCTTCCTTCCCCAGAGGAAACCAGCAGATCAATGGATACACTGCTGGATGGAGACAAATGACTTCATTGCTTAGAAAATAAATGACTTTCACTAAATGTTCTTTGCTTCTCTAGTTTCGCGTTGTTGTCATTCCTCCTGTCCTCAGAATTTGTCGGTGTCATTAAACACTGTAAGTTTCTGAATATTTAGAGAAGATGGAGTACATGCCCACTATCTCCCACTGTTTAATAGAAATACTGCAGACAAATCCATTTAGTCTGTACTGTGATCCATCATGGAGACACAGAGTTATCTTTCCACAGTCTTTCCTATGTGACCTTATACACAAAATATCTCTGCCCTTGGGGTATAGGACAGCCCAAACAAGGTTCCTCGAGACAGACAGAATGTAATATGTGGCATTATACTCAACAGTATTCCGAAAGCATCCACTGGATAAAACACGCTAGACAAGCAGGATCAGAGAAGTACATCTGAGCAACCTAATGCTGAGACGCAAGATTTCAAGACTCTATCAGCAAGACCCACATCAGGATGATTAAGTGGTGATCAATGGATACAGTTCTTTTGCCACTCACATTGCAGTGGTTTCTAAACTTGCCCTACAGTATCGTTCAAATCAATCATTCGTTGACACCTCCAGTCAAAGTTGAAAAAAAATCAATTTCTGCCATGTTGGTTAAGTTCTATCTCACCTCTTGGCACCTATAGATACTCAGGCACTTAGGTGGAATGGGGAGGGCTCTCGTTTAGTGTTGGCTGTTGGCATCACCAGTGCTCCTGCTGCCACTGAGGATCCTGCTCCCGGCATATTCTATT